CACCAGATGTAGCTTGGTTAAAATCTAACATCTTATCGTTTGATTTCCCTTTTGTCCCATTTAAAGTTGCTTTGTCTTTAATATTTTCTGTTTTATTTTTTAACAGGGTTTTTTACCCCCTCTATTTTATTTTGTTATTGTGGTTAGCTTTTGGGACTCTTTGTTTTTGTACATTTTTTGGTATGTGAGTATGAAATCCAGGATGGGCAATTAATGGTTCTTTGGGGGCACAGCAGGGGAGGTTGGGTGGAAATGGGGAACTAATAACAAGGAGTACAAGGAAAAATAGAAAACGTTCTACAATTGCTTATGGTAATGATTGCACAACTCTTCTTGATATGATTTCATTATTGAATTTGGATAATGAACGATTGAATTTGGATTATGTCCCCCCAAATAGATCGATCGATATAGACTTATCTATTTGTAATGCAAGCTCTCTAGGTCCTTTCTCCAAATTGGCCCTACCGTAGGTAAATTACAAAATGCTGCAGGAAGGTGAGGCGGTGCTGGGACAGCCGGAACCCCCCTTCTGCTCTTCTTTGTAAAAGAGGGCAGCTTGACCACCACCGGCCAACCTCACTTCCTCCAGCATCCTCAGCCCAGCCACTGGCTCCCCAGGCTCCCTGAGGGGATTGCCTATTGGGAGTCCGGGTTGTAAAGTTGTTTGAGACACCTAGACTGAGCTCAGGCAAGGGGAAAAGAAGAAATGGGGTAAAGGGAGAGGTCCTCCAGCTCCTTAGCCAGGCGTAAGCTTGTGGAAGACGAGGGCAGTGGCTTGATTCCATCCACACAGGAAGGGGTGGAAGCAGAGCAGGGCCGGGCTTCATACATAGTAGTGTGCAGTGAACTAACTTGGAAACCATTCAGACCCGGGGAAGATGGCCAGACAGGGGTTCAAAGCAATGTGTACGTGCTCTGGTACAGGCAAGGACCTGGACTTGGTGCCCGTGCACCTGGGTTTCAATCTCACCTCAGGCCTTTACCTGCTGGGTAGTCCTTGCAATTTGTTTCCTCTCTCCTACTCATAGTTTTCTTGCCCCTAAGAGTAGGGTAAGCACTTGTTTACAACAAGGTTGCTCTGCAGGTGATGCAATTGATCAAATGGATCAAATGACCCATCTTACCCGAAGTCCCGCATGGACGCATTACTGAAAAACCATCGGTCCTTTTGCCTTTTCTGCAAGCCAGAGCGGGGTACTGCCTTGGTACCTGGCTTTGGACTAGCTGGGTTGTTACATTCGTACAGTGGACGATGCCCATGCCGACAGCCATACTTTGGTCCTATAAGTAAGTATTAACTGTGGTTTCAGCGACATGGAATTGGACCTGAGCAGGGAGGCTCCTACAAGGTGGGAGGCCAGGCAAAGCACAAATGAACTCCGCTCTCCCTTGCCTCTCCAACACGCGCATGCTCCTTGAGACCACCAGCCCTTACTTCTGCACGTCTTCCTCGCGACCCCGTGATGGCAATCGCTCGCTCCTGGCGATGAGTGGCTGAGACAGCTTTTCTTGGTGACTCCCACCCTTCTGTTAATATTGGTTTAGCGGCTGAGATTCCAAAGGCTAGCATATCCCCAGTTGCATTTTCTAAATTCCAGGCTGACTCGTCATCAGTGGGATCCAGGGAGGAAAGCATAGGCCAGCAGGCGGGGACAGCATCTGTTCCTTGCGCCCTCCCTTCAAGCCCTCTGCATTTACATCCGATGCAGACAGCAGTCTGGATCCAACTGCCATCCCAGCAGGCTTGCACAGGCAGGAGGAGGTGTGAGAATATGGGAGGGCTTGAGGAGGAGGGGGGTGGGATGGGGGAGCCAACACACAGGGTGCGGTTTTACCCCCTGAGCTATAAAATGCACCATTTGTCTAGGAGTCTGGTTGCGAAGTGCTGGCAGCTATGAGTACTTCCCCCAAAGATCCTGTCGTTGGCTTGGATCGTGTAAAAGCAGTGTGGTGTCTTGGGCCCTTCCTGAGATGTCTTACAGTAGTAAGCAGCAAGGGCCTCCCTCGGCTACAGCTTACGGTCCTTTTATTAGAATGGTAGGCTCAGAGGGGGACCTGCTTTCTCAAACCAAAGAAACCAGCCTTCTGTAAAAATATGGGCTGAGGGGTGTGCGCGAGTGATCACAGAGGGAGTAGATGGTGGGGAGGGGGTGGGAATTGTGTTCACTGCTGCCCAGTCCCCACACCTGCCCCATGCAGATCTCAGTGGCCACAGGACAAGGGGGAGAGCCTGGGTGCTGCCTCAGAAGCTAGGCGTCAGTTGTGGGGTGGGGAGGAAGGTAGGGAAGTAGGGCAGACCGTTTCTAAGGAAGCGCATGCCCTATCAGCCCACAGCCTAGTGCCCTGGTGAAGCATTTGTGGGGAGAGGAGGCCCACCTTTCCCAGCGCCTGACAGAACAGCTTAGCAGCACAAACGCAATGAACTGAATGGATCCATTTAAGAAATTGAAGGCCTAGGGATGCTGGTCCTTTCTCTGACTGGCATCAGAGGGCAGGTGTCTGCTCAGAGAGACCTGGTGAGTGGGGGCTGGGCGGGGAGGGACGATTAAGTAGGAGTGCTGGAAGCCAGCCGGCTCTGGTGCTGGTGCAGGAGGAGGGGGTTGGGGGAGGAGCGCACTCACCGCAGCTCCAGATGGCAGGGGTCTGGGAACAAAGGGAGAAGAGCCAGTGGGTGGAGGGCAGAGGGAGGACTTGCTCTTCCTGGGGCTGCCAGGTGGAGCTGCCACAGGAGATTCACACCTGGAACCTGGCAGGGGGCACGCCCAGAAACAGCCAGGCGTGGGCAGCTCAGACCTCTCACTCACTGCCAGCAAGCCAACGCTGAATCAGAGCGACCCTATAGGACAAGGTAGAACTGCCCCTGTGGGTTTCTGAGATAGTAGCTCTTACTGGGAACTGAAAGCCCCGGCTTTCTCCTGAGAAGCGGCTGGTGGTTTCAAACTGCTGACCTTGCGGAACGCAGCCCAACGTATAACCACTACGGCACCAGGGCTCCCTAACTTGGGATCAGCCTCCCTCAAATCCCTCCCCAATCCCAATCAGGACTCTGTGTGATCCCAGCTGGACTGCCTGAATTCAATCCAGGGCCTGGTGGCTTCCTAGATGGGGCTGGGACACGTTCCTTAACCTTCCTGTGCTTCGGGGCTGTCCTCAGTCAGGTGTGGGTAACAACAGGGCCTGCCTCCTGGAGTCCTGGTGAGCAGGATGGAGTGGGCCTGTCAGGTCCACAGCGCGGCACCTGGCACATGGCGTGCCCTCAGCTCTGGGGCATGATGATGACTGTGGTGCCCATCTCAGGACACCCGGATCAGCTCTCCTTCCCCAAGACAGCATTGCTCCTTCCACAGCCATCTGTCCCGGCTGGGTGTATCACCTGCCCTCCTTCTCCCTCTCTTTTTTTTCAGTGCCTTCTGGGAGTGGGAAGGCCCTGTGACAGGGGCTTCCCCTTCGTGAGTCAGGAGTGCCTGCAATGGGGGGGGGGGGAAGGGGGCAGTCTGATGGCATAAAAAAGAAAAGAGCCCTCCTTTCAAGTCATCTAAGGTCCAGCACAGGCTTGTTTGTGGCTTTTGGCTCTCGGAGCCTCTGTTGATTCATCCATCGCATGGGGAGGGAGGATGCCGCCAGCCTTGCTCACATCACAGAACAGCGGAAGGCAGGTGACGCCATGATGTACCTGGACACATTAGGGAAAGAGCCGAGCTCGGAGCCAAGGCGAGTGGTTGCTGATGAGCTCAGAAGCACCCAGAGGTGCAAGGCTGAGCAAGTCTGCTCAGTGGGACGTGGTAGGTAGGGCACGATGAATACCAGCCAGGTGTGCTGCAGGGCCGTGATGTGACCATCGCAGGACAAGGCAGGGACTCCCAGGATCTTAAGGCTGGATCTTAAGCATGCATGTGCCCAGAAGGGCTATGGCTGAGCTCTGGGGAGGATAGGGATGAAGCACAGGGCAGGTGTATAGAAAGCCCCAAAGAGGGAACACCGTGACAAGAAGCAGAATTAATACTCCAGCCCTGTACAAACAGGGAGGGGCATTTGTTCCCATGCTGTCTCATATATTTACATGCCCATTTAAATAAACTGGTATACCACTTTTGCAATAAGAGTCCTCTGCTCAGCAGTTTGAAATCACCAGCTGCTCCGAGGGGGACAGATGGGGTTTTCTATCCCATAAAAGTTTCTGTTCCAGAAACTCATGGGGAAGTTCTACGCTGCCCTATAGGGTCGCCGTGAGTCAGCCTTGACCCAGCAGCAGAGGGTTTGGTTTCGTTCAGGGACACACAGTAAAACAAAACCTAGCACTCCCTTGGCCTGCCCCTTCTCACCATTGCCAAGTTCAACATTCCGTCACCCCACCCGGTGGAGAAGGACACCTCTCTCAGTTCCAGCCTCGGGTCAGACTCCACCCAGCAGCCTCCAGGAAGCTCACTTGTGAACAATGACCAAAGACTCCTCCCTTCAGACTGTCCCTGGGTGAAAGCCCTGGAATGGAACAATGCTCAGCCTGGAAACAGGGCGTGGCTTCTGGCTGTCGACCTCGAGGCTTACTGCACCCCACAGCTGCCCATCTGCCAAGCCTAATGCTCCGTGGGGAGGAGGGGCTCTCGGACTGCCCCCCATATGCTGGAGCTGTCACTCAGACGCTCTGAGGTCATGGGGGTCCAGGCTACAGGGAGTGAAATCATACAGTGTTTTGTTTTGTTTTGTCACCACTTTTTCAATTAAGGTGGACATCTGTGACCATGACAATGCCGGCTGACCACAGCTGCGGGGTGGGGAAAAGGAGTTAAGGCTTCTTGCACACCTGCCTCCCTGCCGGGCACCGCCTCCTGACTTGGCTCAGTGGCGACGCTGAGTTTCCACCTCTAGGGAGAAGGGAGGAACCTTCCCTTCAGGGAGTCCCAGGGGTGATGAAGAGAAGGGGCAGGAGGCAAGACTGAGACTTTCATCCCTCTTCCAACCTGCCCCCAATACATGCCTCAGGCACCAACGTCACTCACCTTCTCTGCCTCATTCAGCCTCCTTGCACGGCCGGCGGCTCCGGGCCAGTCTGCAGAGGGCAGGAGCACTCCAGTGTCCCAGACTGCACATACGTCAGCCGACCTGTCTCAAAGCAAGCACAGGCAGAAACCCAGGTCACTCCTGGAAAGACACGGCAGCTCTTTGCCGCTGCTGTGTTTCACTGGGGAAACCATGTCTTTGCCCACGCTCACTTGTAGATTTGCATAGCGCAGGGCACCTTGGGCCAGCCAGGTTCAAAGCACTCTCTCTGCAGGAAGCAGCACAGCTTCCCATGAACGCCAGACACCTGGGGCTGGGTCTCCGCACTCACACACGAGCTGTTTCCTAGGGTCCTGACATCACAGTCTGATCGCCCAAATCAGTGCAGCCATATCTCAGGAGAACCCGAGGGAGACTTTACCCACAATGATCTCACTCAGTTTCTTCATTTCCTTGGGACTACTGGGTTTCTTCCTCATGTACAGGTAGGCAAACCAAGTTCCCCCTAAATAAATCCATAATACATTGTCAGGAGATGGGATTTTAGGGCCAGGAGACATAGATTTCGTTTGTTTATTTCCCAAACCATTTGGGGGGGGGGGGAGCTAATACAGACATCATATCCTCCCATAGTTCAATCACTTCAAGCAGTATTATACAATTGCTACCATTGCTGTAAGTTTCTAAACATCCTTTTCCTTCTTGAACTCCTCAACACCAGCTCCCTTTTAACCGCTCCCCCCAACCCTCAACTGTGCCCCCGCCAGAAACCCTTATTCTACTTGATGTCCCTACAGGTTCATCAATCCTGAGTTTCCTATACTGAAAACCAGACAACCATATAACAAAACTTCAAAAGGATCACCCCCAATGACAAAATACATCTGAGGTAAATCCCAATATAAAACAAGCCAAAACATACAGAAAATGTTGAAAACCAGATCAGGCCTAAGGTGAACCAGAGGGGGAGACATTTATTTTAAGTTCTCCCTTCAGTAGGACTCCTTTTCTTTACCGGTGAAGTGGTGAGAAGCTACTCAGAGTGGGTCACCACACAGGCCATTAGGTGGCACTTGGAGGAGCTCAAGCCCCAGTGCCGCCTCTTTGGGGACAATCATTTAACCTTCCTCAGCACAGTCAGCACATTTCAATTCATCCTGTACTCTGACATTAAAATGCATCTGCTGAAAATGGTGAGCCCCATCCTTGGGTAGGGGAATGTGGCAATAGTTACAAAGTAAGTATGTGTGCATCCTTTGGCCCAGCAATCCCAGCCTAGGAATCCACTCTTAAGTACACACTCTATGCCTATGCTGTGATGTGCACTACTAAGTCAAACAATGATAGGAAAAAGGGAATGTATCACATGCTACCATTCATCTAAACTGAAAGGAGAGAGAGAGAGGGTGTGTGTGTGTTTGTGTGTGTGCGTGTATCCCTTAAAGATAAAAAGAACTGCCCAAAACAAAAAAATATAAACTGTCTTCACTTCTTCAATATTTATATTATTAATGGTCATGTTGTCTGAGCATATGATAAATGTAAACTGTGGGATAAATCAAATAAGTGCTAATATTGATGTTGCTGAGAAACAAGATTTTCCTCTGGCCGAAAGGATAGATATATAAGATTAATAGGGTTCTGTAGTTCTAACTTTGAAGTAGGAGCAGTATGAGCTGTTGATTTACTTCTACACACACACACACACACACACACACACACGAACACACACATCCTAACTCTCTACCAGCTTCCTCAGAAAAAAATTGCTGATTCTAAATCAGCTTCTTCAAGTGTACAAGATGAGCCCATAGCCTCTGGCCAATGCCAGAGACAATGAGAGTCACGTCCACAGGACGTGAAAGTCAGCCTGAATCACGTGCCCCAGTGCAGTTGGGCATCAATAAGCATCAAGACTCAGCAGATTGAAGCACCTGCTACATATGATCTGCGTTACTGAATCAAAAATAGATAGGGAAATGATATACTTCATACCTACCATTCATCTAAACCAGTGGGGAAGGGGAGAGAGGATGCAAGTAGATGATACATGTATTCACTTATATTTTTAAAAGACTATAAAAAAGAGATAAACCATAAACTAGAATTTAAAAGGCCCACCGAGAAGGGCCTTTTATATATCTAAACCTAGGAGTCTTTGATAATATTAAAAACAGCACAAAATAACACTGTGTCACCTTTGGGGGATGGTAAGGAATTGCCTCATCATCTTGCAGACTGGTCAATAAAAGAGAAGGAGGGGTAGTGAATAGAGGTACAGCAGAAACAAGACTGGATGTGTACTGTTATTGATGGGTGGGAGTGGGGGATACTGGGTACATCAGGCCCCTTCTGATTCTCTCCTCGCTTGTTATGTGTTAACATTTGGAGTTTTTAGAATGAGGCATCAGGTTTAGACTGGGAAATCACTAGACGGTGAATTCCTGCTGCTCTTCTGAACCACAGGCATCTAACCCTAACAATTCCAACCTAACGAGGTTGGGCGATATAAGCATGACTACCCCCACTTTACACCAGAGGAAATAGGTGACCGAAAAACCTATTAGGTCAGGACCCAAACGCCCAGCTTCTGCTCCCCCAAAGCACACCAACTACGACACAGTTGCCTCTTCAAGCTCCTCGTCCCTAAAACTGCCGTTGCCCCCGTGAGATAATGTAAAGCAAAGCACTTGGCAACAAGACACGGATTTTGTAGCTGGTTGCAGTCGAATTGATGCCGACACACAGAGCAGAGCTGCCCCACAGGGGTTTCAAGGCTGTGCCCTTTGGGTAGCAGATCTCCAAGCCTGGTTTCCGTGGGGCCCAGTCTGAGTGAGTTGAGAGGAGGCCTGGTGGTAGAGTGCTTATGAGTTGGGCTGCCAACCTCAAGGTCAGCAGTTTGAAACCAGCAGCCACTAGGTGTAAGAGAATACTCCCCATACAGAGTGACAGTCTCGGACACCCAAAGGGGCAGTTCTACCCTGTCCTACAGGGTTGCCATGAGTCGGCACAGACTCCACAGCAGGGAGTGTGTTTTGTTTTTCAGTATGGATGAGTGCAGACCACCAACCTCTCAGGGCTTAACCAGCTGCACCACTCGGGGACTCCTGGGATAGTTTATGATTTGCCAGCTGGGGATCAGACATGACCTACGGAACTGCTGTGCGGATCAAGGGAGATCTACAATCTGAAGGCAATACAGACAGAGACCCTTAAAGGTGGGGAAGGGTACAATCCCCAGCCACGCTTGTATCATGCTTCCCAGGACTGCAGGGTTCATCAAAGAGCAGCAGTGCAGTCCAGAGTCTCATTCTCCAAGGGACCCAGTGGTGGGGAGGTTCCCCTGAAGACACCTGATGCTCTGGAGAGGACTGGGGATCACGAGGACACCTGATCTCCCTCAGGCTGCAAGAAGAGCTCTCCTAGTCACAGATGGGTGGAGACCACTGCCAGTTTGCTGGGCACAGCCCCCAGATTCCAGGTCAGGCAAGGCGCCAGGCACTAGGCCCCTGCTGGCTCCCTATGAATGAGGTCTGGGGTGAAGGCTGGGGAGGAGGGCCCGGGCAGGGGTGGGTGCCCAGCAACAGAGAGACAGTGGGGAGGAATGTCTGGAAGGCTGCTGCTTCTTGGCCTTGGCCTTCGTACCTTCACATGGGTCAGATTTCTCCCAGCCAGTGTTCCTGCCAGATTGTCCTTCCCTCTGCCACAGAGGACGAGAGGGTCTGGGGGAACCTCGACTACTCAGCGTTCTGTGAGGCTGTGAAGGGCGCCCTCGTGAAGACGCACAAACTCAAAATTCTCCGGATGCCTTGGCTCCTGGGTTTCCCCCGTTTTGATATTTCGTCTGTGCTCAGACTAAACGGCTCCCTCTGCCTCTGGCCTGAGGTTCTTACATTTTTAAGAAATTCATTACTTTACTTTCGGTGTTGGTAATCCCTTCCCAAGGAGTCTTGCTGGCGCAGTGGTTAAAATGTTCCCCTGCTAACCAAAAAGTCGGTGGGTGGGAACCCACCAGCTGCTCCACAGGAGAAAGAGGGGACAGTCGGCTTCCCTGAAGATTTCTAGCCTTGCAAACCCAGGTGTGTGTGTGTGTGTGTGTGTGTGTGTGTGTGTGTGTGTGTGTGTGTGTGCTGCTCTGCTCTATAGAGCGGCTATGAGTTGGAATCAGTTGGATGGAAACAGGTTTGGTTGTTACTAATCCCTTAACAGGATACAAATTCCCAGGATGCTGTAACAGGTTAAATTGCTTGACTGCTAAGCCCAAGTTGAAGGCTGGAGTCTATCCAGGGTGTCTCTGAAGAAAGCCCTGGGGATCCGGACTCGCCACTGTCAACTCCATGGGCACAGTTCTACTCGGACACGTGTGGAGTCACCACGAGCCAGTCTAGATTCTTCTTCTTTCACCGAGTTTCATGCGGCTCAAAACTGAAAAGATTCAGGAGCACACCGTGAAAAGCAACCCTGCTTCCTGGGCTGCCCCCACCCCTCAGTGACTGCCAGTCCCCCTGTCTCTGCCCCTGGACAACCACTGTGACCGTTTCTTCTGGATCCATCCAGAGATGGTCTCTGCAGACCGAGAACTACAAGTGACGGCACACGGCACCTATGTTTCCTCTGTGTTGCTTTTTCCAGTCCACGAATCCTAGCGTTCTTCTTCCTGGACTCCGTTGGAACTGCCTTCCTGAGCAGATCAACGGTACAGGACTGCATCGTATGAACACACACGTCCTTCTCCACTGACAGATAGTGAGGCTTTTTGTAGTCATTTGATAGAGAAAACGACTCTAATCACTGTCTCTGGATACATCCTATATCTCATATTTTCAAGAAGAGTTGAAGGCTATGTTCTCCGAGGCAGAATTTCCGGGTCAAAGGAGATCTAGTCAAGTTGCTCCTCCTGAAGGTTGTGACAAGTGACACTCCCAATGGCAAGCGATGAGAGTTCCAGCTTCCCACACCCTCCCTATGAGTTGTCATCTTTGACCACTTGGCCACCAAAGCATGCTCTCGCTTTTGTACTTCCTTTATTTAGAGTGACGGTGAGGATTTTTATTTTCTTTGAACTGCCGCTATCTTTTGCCCATTCCTCAACTGGGTATTG